AAAAATTCCAGTTTTGAAAATTTCATTTTTGTTTTACTTTTCATGGAAACTAACATCAGTGATATACACTGCTCGCTGGCAGCCATGGAACCACCTACATGTCCGGAAAATCATATCAGACATCATTCTGCTGAAAAATTTTCAGTTCTGAAATGATAAATTCTATCCAACTTTTCTTTCGTAATCATTGATGTAGGAGTCTGAAATTTTTAGGAGCAAGAAAGAGACCAATGACCAAGTTGGATCATCTTCAATGATACATTGCTCACCAGCAGCCACAGAACCAGCGACATTTCAGAAAGAAACATTTATCAAATCGGAAAATCCACCTCATGGTTGTTCTAATATTGACTGATAATCATAATGTCAGTTCTCATCAGGGATAATGGAATAACAATCAGAACTACTACAATCAAAAAGATTATCAGGAATGATCCAATGGATCAGAACTCCTGACGGGTTGAAATGAAATATGAATATAATTCTTTAATACTATGAAGAAAATCGTTACCGATAATAATGCGTGAAAATATGGAAGTTAGTGAATTGGATGTCCTGTTTTCAAATCCGAAGTGATATTCAACCTATTCATCTTTTTATTTAGAGCCAGTAACAAGATATGAAATCATTGATGCTGTACGCGACTTAAAAAATTCAGAGTGACACACTGTATGTTGTTATTCCACAGCGTTTTCGGAAAATACCTGAGTAGTTCATACCTTCGTTCTCTCTCCTTGCGTTGCAGCTTCTTTTTCTTGAACGCTTTTTTTACTCTGAGTAGCAAAAACGCCGCCCGATCGATTGTTAATGCGGAATATTGCTTCTTTTCCTCCATTCTCTACGAATTCCTTCAATCTGGTGAGCTTGATCCTGCAAATAAAACGCAAATCTGAGTAAACACGAAATGCGAATTAATTTGGATTTTATTTTGATCATTAGATACATTGAGTATCACAGTTCCGGAATGGAATGGGGAAAAATAAACAATTTCTCATAACAGTTCAACAAATTAATAGTTATTCATTCTACAAGGGAAAAAGTAGTAGATATTAGCTCCAGAGGTTGTGTTTCTTTCCGACGTGTAGCGTAGAAAAAACGTGTGCTAAAATCTACGAATCAATATTGAGGAGGTATTATATCATAATCAGAAAATTATCGACCTGAGATTTTGGAGTAATCAAATATCCGTCAGTCTAATTCTATGATTAGCTCTTTAAAAATTGCAAGAGTGTGGGTAGTACTTTTTTTCTGGATATTTACAGGGTGATGACATTTTGAAAACTTCCTACCCTCAATATCTTCTTTGATTTTCAAGGGGACACCCGAGGGGACACCTCAAATGCATATTTTTAGCCCTCTTGGTTCAACCATGTTCAACCCCCTAGAAGGTGTAGATTTACCCAAATGGGTGCATTGCTCCACTGAAATGCATTCAAAATCTTCCTACCATTTGGACTGAAAGGGTCAAAGAAATAATTCCTACCTGAAAATCATGCATATCAGTCGAGATATCAGTGCAGGCATGTTTTAATTACTTCTGTAAGTTTAGAACGGCATTTTTCGGAAACTATTCATCAAAAATAATAAACTAGGGTATAGTTGAGAAGAGACTTGAACGCCCTTCAAAATGATGTGCATCTTGACCTCCCTTTTCATATTATAGGTTCTAAGGGTATCTACCCCTCCTAGCGGGTTGAACTAAGAGGACTAAAAATATACATTTCAAGTGTCTTTTTCAGAAATGGAATTGACGTGTCTTCACGATTTCTCATATCATTTACTGAAAAGAAGATATTATTGAGTGGGAAGTTTTCTAAGTGAAACGACATTTTTTGGAAACTGCTCGACAGAAAATGATTAACTAGGGGACCGTTTGAAATAAAATTGAACGCCCTCCAAAATGCCACTTGACCCGCCCTCCCATTTGAGATTCTAAGGGTAACATTCACCCCTCCTAATCATTTCAAGTGGTTTTTTTTCATCGAGGTGGTTGAAATCCTTTATGGACACCTTATGGGTCCAATCCCCAATATGATAGTGTGGGAGTCCCCTGACTCCAGGTATACCCACTAAACATTCCACCCCGTTTGTAGGCTCGTCTGACCGAAGTCTCCGACGACACTTAGACCTACTGGCCCATTGTATCTTACCTACATGCCGTTATCAATTCTACCATATACGACTCATGGTGTTTCTTAAGGGTCACTTCAGTATGATGACCCTGTTCGTTCAAGTTCTTGAAGACTGCTCTTCCGATCCCTGTTCTCGTCTACAGAGAAGGCCAAAAGTTTTCCTTCTACTACGAGTGACGGGGGAAGGGGTTGGTCCAGCTCTGTGGTGCCCCCTGCACACGGCTAAGGCTACTTACTCTGAGATGTCGCCCCGTTTCCCAGAGGCCCCGTTAGCGACACCATACCTCGGTGCCGTTCATCCATCACCACGGATTCCCACAGCTTGGATTACGTTGCCAGAGTCTCGTTGACCAGTCCTCGGCCACCTAGACAGATATCAGCAAATCGCCCCATCCCTGCCACAGATGTCCACAAATTGTCCCATCTGGCCGGAGATAACAAAGATGGTCCAAAAATGCTTCATCCGTTGAGCGACCGCGGTCTGTCCTCCCCACACCACTTGATGGTTAGGTTGGGCTTGGAGAGGATAAGAGAAGTTGGCCAAGAAAGGCCAATAGATAGATTGAAAAAGCAAGAGAGAAGAGAATATCACCCAAGACAAATTGAAGTATGGTGAATATCCGGCTAGGGTACCTCGGGTTCACCATTCCCGTACTCACAAGTTGTGAGCCCCTGAGGGTCATTTCAAGTGTCCCCATTGAAAATCGAATCGACTTGTGTTTTCGATTTCTCATGTTATTCACTGCAAGGAAGGTATTGATGGTGGGAAGTTTTCAAAATGTCACCCTGTATATACATTATTGATAGCTTTCGTCACAGAATACCCTACTATAGCTCCGAAAAATAAGCCAATAACACTGTCTCCGAGAAAAAACAGCGAGTCCTTTTATCCTCCATTCCACTTCGCGGTTACTTAAATTACTAAACAACCACTATATAAGCTCGCAATTTCATGAAATCAAATCACAGAATTAGACTGACAGATATTTGATTACTTCAAAAGGATGATAAATGAAAAGATGCAACGCAGGTGTAATTTCTGTTAAAAACTTCAAATTTAACGTCGAAATTTTATTTTAATATACTCTAATATCTACTCAATATTGATTCGTTCCTGTCATAAAAAACAATAGTGTATTATGCACGGGAAAAATAGACAACTCAACCTGGAGCTGAAATCTACTACTTTTTTCCTTGTATAATAAATAACTATTGATCTCTACATGATGTTTCCTGAACCCAATCTGAATTATGATCTTCTTAGATGAAACACCCTGTATTTTTTTACATATTCCGAATAATCGCTTTCTTGTCTACATAATTTTTGCAATTTTTTGCAGCATTGCCAAGCTGAGTAGAATCATTTCGATAAATACATAGATTTGATTCCAGTAAGCCTTCCAGTAAGTCTTCATTTTCAAAATGTCCATTCAACATTATTTATTAACTTTGATTATACTTCGACTATCGCTTCACTGAAGAGATGATTGAGAGTTGTCTTATTGGGTATTTATAATATCGCCAATGTTTACTTTTCCGAATGGTCATTACTTGTCATTTCAAATGGCATATCCTGTATATTCCAGTAGAAATGCATGTTCAATTTCAATTCTTATCTTCTTCAAATTTTGCTTCAATTCGAAAATATTCGAACTTTATTTGGTGGTGACAATCCACTGAGTAAGTCTTCTCATTGTCATAGAAATAATCTCTTGCCTTCATTTTTTTATTGTGAACAAGTAATTATTCATATTGTGAGTACTGTTTTCAACTTCGCATCAAAAACGATAAACTTACATGCAACTTCCTCATTTGGTATTACCTAGTTACACAAGATTCATCCAACTTCAAAAATGCAACGTCTCTCGAATACTAATAGGTACATTATCAATCCTAAATAGCCTTCATGAAACATGTAATTTCAGATTTCCTTCGAAGTTTCTTCAACTGAAAAGTGATGTGTCTTATGCATTGATGAGGTCACTTCTAATCAAAATGTATGCGTTTTATTAAAATATGTTTGTAATTTACATTCATTCCATATGAAAGTAACGTTCTCTCGTCGTTTCGTTGCAGTAACGATTTTAATATGGAAATTTTCTACCCACCTATTGTGAATACCAAATATCATCGTTGATTTAACAATGAAAATGAGAAGTGACTGTGAAGATTTTCACGAAAATGGTTGAGAACACGACATATTTTGCTACTAGTAAGCAGAATAAATCAACCTAACATTGATTTCTCTAACTTATGTGCATATACTTATGAACCAAGACAAGGAAGAGGGCATTGTGTCAGCAAAACATGTTATGTTTTTGAGAATTTCGTGGAAATCCTTCGTTTGTGAGGATTTTCACATTAATTATGGTTTTCCATCAAGTTCCAACGTTTTCTAGACTAGCGTGTGCCATTTTATAGCGACAAAATACTCACTTGAAGAAAATATGGAACCAGAATTTTGACAACGTGGAGAATATTGGCGAAGTGAAAATAAGGGTGATTCAAAGTGATACAGAAAAAATGTCCATAAAACCAGGCTAAAACGTATTGCCTAGACATCAACCTATTTTTAGAAGGATAGAGGAGAAAGGTCACTTAGATATATTATGAGATTTTCTCCTCAAAGATGGTTAAACGAGAATACGAATGATAACCGTGAAAATATTGAAATATATCTCAACTAATACCAATATTAATGGATGTTCAGGGATAAAAATCTTCAGGAATTTATTGAGCAATAAACTGATTCTTATGAGTCATTATATGCAGGAAATTTCTTCGATAAATAATTTTCTGTTAAACGAATAATGACTTGAAAATATCATGTTAATCATGTTATTATCTTCGTCCATCGACCACCCTGCAATTCTCTCTAAAGCTACAATCATACGTGTAGAAACCGACGTCAAATAGGAATGTTAGCTGATGTTAGCCATTGTTTTGACATTGATCACTGACGTATACCTCATCAAAACCAACAAAATTGGGGTTTCTTATGATTTTTTAATGAATATTCGGGATCGCCTGGATTTAGCTCATGAAAATGTGGCCTACGGAGCAGATAAAACTTGGAGCAGGCAGTCCAACAGCATGCAAACTTCCAATATGGATCTCTTTCTGAAGAAGAGTCACATACAGATACCAAAGCCCGTAGAATTGAGGCCAAGAACTGTGAGAGACTGCATTCCTGACAGTAAGTTAGCTCAATATTCTAATTATGAGTATAGTAACTCGAGGGAGTTGTCTTATACCAGTGAAGACTTCAGAAAACTGCCAGACACATCTTATGATTTCAAAGATGAATTCGACAAGGAACCTTGGATGATGGATGAAGTGGATGAGTATTTCAAATACTTCATGGAGAATCAGAAACAATCACTAGTGAATAAGGAAATATTTAGTTCTTGCGCCCAATTCCAATCACCATTCATGAACTGCAATTCACTACCAGAATATTTCCTAAAACTTCAAGTGACAAAAGATCAGGTAAAGAAATTATGGGATGCAGAGAATGTACAAACGAATAGTTACATGTTTCGTAGTCTTCAATCGGTAAAAGGAGAAAAATCATTGATTGTTTATAAATCCCCTGCTGGACAAATATTTGTGTCTGAATATGATGGCATCACGAGAGAACTCACAGAAGATTATTGCGAATGGGACAAACATTTCACGGATCCCGACGATAGCATCGATTCTTTGAATATACTTTCACACTCCTTCAAGCAAACAAATAAGAAAAGCTCTGACGAGATTGATGGCTCTTTGAATGCACAGACTGACTCTAGCGGAAGTCGAAGACTTTATTCGGCAGTTTTGCAGGGCTATACTCCCAAGAATCTCTCAACTGAATCTGATGAAGGTAAAATGACGATTTTGAGAAGAAACGTCAGTAAATCGGAAAGAAGCGTGATGGAAAAACTTGGTAACGTTGGTGATTATCAAAAACAAATTGAACACATTCTAGAAGAAGACGATGCAGAACTACCGAAATCATCACTGTTCTCTAACGCGATACCAAAACTCTTCACAACTAGATCAATCAAGAGCTCTAGGAGTGTCCAGACAGTACAAGCAACTAGTGATGTTGGCATCAACAGTAACATTCCGACATTGAATCTGGATTCCCAATATAGAAGTACCTTCCAGAATAGAATAACACATACCAGTTTTTCAAAAGCTGTGCCTCCCGTTATACACCCACAATCGATTACACCTAAAATCAATAGGCAAAACTATTCCACAAGTAACTATCAATATCCACCTCTTTGCATGCTTCTGCAGAATAGCCTCCAACAATTATATACTCCAGTGGTGCATCAAAGAACCATACCAACATTGTTCAACAAAAGCATTCCACACAGGTCATTCCAAATGCCAATGAGTACCCAATATAACAACCCAAGTTCCACTGGTTTCGTTCCCCGCGGCCAAATGTCTCAAAGATTCGACAATTCGACCTTTAGAATAAGAAGGAAGGAATCGAAAAGTAAGATGAAAGTTGAGAGTTTCGAGAAGAGGAAGGCTAGCCGCAAAGGAGGTTGCTCAGTGAGCAATATCCGAAAAATAAATGGAGCTCGTTCTTTTTCGAGCTTAGCGTCCCAATCAGACCACAAATCGACGACAGAACAAGACAAATATATGGACGAATTGGTATCTAGAACAGTGGATTTGGTCCTGAACGAGACTGATGTGCTGCCGATTTCACGAAGGCAGTCAGATGAGCTGGAAAGAGAGGCCTTGGAGCAATACATCAATTCTTGCGAAGAGGATTTTCAAGAGCTGGAAAGGCAAGCTGCTGAAGAGTACGAGAACTGTTCGGAAAACTGCAAAAGCCCCCCGAATCTTGAAGCGTCGTTCGGGGGGTTTCTTACAACCTACAAATTTTGTTTCATTTTTTAACTGATAGGGTTCACTGAATTATTAGAAAGTACAAAACATTTTTGTGTAATTAAAAAAAACTGAGAATATTTTATGTTGAATGCAACATTTTGTTATCCAAATGAAATGGCTAAAAACATTAATTATCTCATTATTGAAAAAGTAACTGCGTTCTTTTCCAGGATTTCCATATCATCGCAGAAAATTATAGCAACACTGTCAATGTAGATCTTGCTAAAATTATAGCCTGGCAAACCAATAACCGCCTGAATTCAACGCGACCAAAACTCAAGCCTATATTTTTTCCCAAACTGCCAAGCTCATTTGCCACGTTTATACCGAGTGTATATTAAGTATGCTCACCCAACTGATCTCACCAAATTCAGACTAATTGACTTAGGTACCGCATGTTCACACCAGGTATCTTTATAGTTGACTATATACTAACAAACCTTGTCCTTGATATGATTTGATTATTAGGTATTCTGAGGTTATGTCGTGAATAAAAACCTCCAGCAAATTTCAAAATTAGAAAAAATTAGATGAAACTGAATGATATAATGTTTTGAAGAATCATAAAACAGCTTAGCTTGCATTTTACCTAAGTCAAGGATATACCAAAGCAGACCAATAAAGTGTTGACACCGTCTTAGTCATTATACTATTTGAGTCTAGTAGTAAAAATATTCGATACTCAACCAATCTGGTAACTTTGCCAAGTGTACAGTTGCAACCACACTGATCAAGAGTATTTAGTTAAATTCTTTTCTTCGTATGATTTTGAACCAATTAGAACGTTCAATTGAGGTAAGCTACATCATGTAACTTTGAATATACGTGGATATACATAGAGTAGTTCCACCAATCAGAAATTAACAATTATTTCTATTTCTATAGTAACCAATTCATATTGTTACATTCAATGTGCGTCGCCAAATTTTGGCGTTTGTTCAGAACTTCTCAAAAAATAATCGCATTGAATACAATTCGAACTTCAAAATATCAAGGTTTTAATCTCAAACATCCTGCACAATTACAAATCGTGTCGCTTTAGCACGATCATCCTCCCACTTCGGCAACAAGTTGAATTTCAGAGTTCATTTCAAACGAACCTTCATGGCCGCCATTTGGCGATATGTCGAATAAATGGTGACGTCAATTTTTATGCTGTTTCGTTATTGGAAAATCGACCAAAAAATTCTTAAAAAATATGAAATTGAAAGGTAATAAGTAATGAGTTATACGTAGGTACTCTTCCATGGCAAAATCATGTCAGATCTATGGAAATGAAAATTCAGCTTTCTATTCCGAGTGAAAATCATAAATTTACACCTCAACAACTCCTCATGATCTACAAAGCACAGATCCAACCCATTTTAGAATACTGTCTCCACATATGAAATTTAGCGATCAAGAATACAATGTTTCCATTCAGAGACGAGACATTCCCTGGTGGTGATGCCACACTCACTAATTTCTTGATATCACTGGAACACCGTATTGGAAAGTCGGATACCTCTCACTTTTCTGGCAATATAATACCATATAATACCATTCAGACGAAGTTCAGTCAGCATATCCTTTTGTCGTTATCCTCGATAAATGTCGACCAACTCTTCATCAAAACTCGTTTATCTTTAGAACGGCAACGCTTTGGAATCCTATTCCGAAGGATGTATTCCCTTCAAAAAATCCGAAACATTTCTTCTCTTATTCTCCTACCTCATCCTAGGTCAAAGTGATTGACTATGGACCCACTACTTTGAAAGCTCATATCTCGAAAACGAAGAAAGATATTCAAATTTGGTAAAGGAGAACTTGAATGAGATTATGTTGTTCCTTCCAGATAATGTTATCTTCGCTAGATTTTATCAGTTAATATACAGGGTATGTGAATGGAAAATGTATTCAAAATATAAAAAAATATTTTTTAAAATGTCACCCTGTACTTATATGAAATGATGAAATCAAGCAGAACCCTCTTAATGTACTCCAAAATTAAAAAAATAGTTAATTTATAAAAATCATCTGAAAAGTGGTGCTTATGATACGACCATGAATCTGATGGGTTCTGAGAAAACACAATGTTACTGATGAGGATTTGATATCCGAAATGAGTTTATTCGAGTGAAGTCATATAACCTGTTTGCGAGAGATATAATTCCCATATCACTGATACGAATGATTTTTTGGAAGTTCCAAGCTCATCAAGATCAGAGTTTATACAAGTATTATACATCTCATATACATTTAAATTTTCATTTCAATACTGAATATATTTTGGTAAGTTATATTTTCATATCATGATACATCATATTGTTTTATTCGATTTGAGAGAAAATGTAAATTCTCAATTTCAGAGGATTTTCATTTTTTATGCCCTCTTTTTGAATGTTCAACAGATATAATTAAATGTTCGACGTGGCAAATAGCCAGGAAAGTAGTTGTTTTCTGTTGAATATTCAGAATGATATAATGTGCATATCTATATATGAAGGAGAATGCAAATTCTCTACTTCAGAAGATTTTCAAATTCTTATCGTGTGTGTTCAATAGATGTAATTCAATGTTCGTCGTGGCATATAGCCAGGAAAGTAGTTGTTTTCTGTTGAATAAATCGAGAAAGAATTGATATTTTCATCACATAGAGAATTCCAATTCTCAATGTATTTCTTTATAAATAAATCCATTTCATTATGTTCATAATTATATCTGAGAATATTTCTTTTCAATACGAGAGTTTCAGTTTCACAGTGATGTTATATTATTAATTGATTATAGGTATAGTTTATGCAAAGTCAGTTGGAGAAACACCAAACCGCAAGCCGTCGGTCCCTTTGAAAGTTCAAAGAGTGCGGTAGCGCGGCCCCACATTCTTTTGATGTTCTGTTCAACTGACTTTGCATAAACTATACGTTCAAATTCTGAGTTCACAATATTCATCCTGCAGATTTTCAAACTCGATACAATTTCAGAAAAAAAAATCTAGAAAGCCCTTATGTTCATATGATCCATAGAGGTGATTTGATGAAGAAAGAAAAAGAAACTGTTACAGTTTTCTGTTATTTATCGCCCAACATAATCAAATTCCGATTGGGGAAATGGGATAAAAAGCGGCGTCCAATTTCAAAAGTTAAAAACGAATATTTGGTGAGGAAAACATAATGCAATTCAGACGAAATTTAGATGGAAATTTATGTAAAAACCAGCTCCAATCAAATCCAATCTTGACTACTGTCGTAACGGCAGTTTGGAGCTTTCTGAAAGATATTCAGAAGTTCATCTCTATGTCTATAATTGAAAATCTTATCAAGGGGAAGGCTGAGAAAGTGGATTGATATCATTTTAGGTTTGCAATAAATAGCCTTTTTTAAGTCGAATGTAAATTCCTAATTTATCGTAAATCATCAACCATCTATATGTATATACCTCATTGATGCTCAAAAACTCACAAGAATTATATAGATATACAAAATATGTTTTTTACAGTTTTAACACAAAACTGTTCTTTCCCAACTGTTTTAGATATAATAATGTGGTAAATTGTATGTTTCCAATGTCATTTCCATACCTCCATTATTGTATTACAGTTGTGGTTATTATCATACAATAAATCATGTCTCTGTCACTTCTGATGGCAGCTCTAGTTTTCTAATGATATATTTGAATTAAATCTGTTTTCTGTTGAGAGATCAATTTACTTTGAGATGTATATGTAAATTCCGGAGAAGTATATATATGCATAGCTCGCACGGAATGATAATTCCTCACTGGTATAATTTAAACTTCATACTCGTGGGAAATGACTCCTCGATTAACCCACAGAACTTGCTTTATTTATCTCTTGCAGCGCACGAAAGGAAATCCCTATAATTATCGAAGGAGATACCTAAAGACAGAGATTATACACTAATCTCTGCTAAAGAGGATGGGAGAGGAGGTAGGTATTTGATTTTTTCCTACTTTTGGAGTTCATAAGTTCTTGTTCTTGTTCTTCCATTGGCAAAGAATTCTAAAGCTTTGCCGTTCTATGGACAAATGAGTTTTGGTAAAGTGTTGTTCGACATATTTCGAGGTCAACAACGCAAGGATGTGCTGACTGGGTTTGTCGAGTTCGTCTGACTAGTATTGCTAGTGATAGGATGGTGTCAAAGGATTAATGAGTGTGGCATCACCCACTAGGCTTTCCTCTGGATGGAATCTAAGAGCATCAGCGTATGTTTGAGTGTTGACCCCCATATACGGAAATTATGTGGAAAAATTCAAATAAGAAATCAATTCAATATGTACGTGGGTCCGGAAATGCACAGTTTTCAACATTCAGTGTGTTAAAGTTTGAAAAAAATCGTTTTTTTATGAATATCTCAAATGTCCTTCCCCCATTTTTCTTGAAATTTGGCAATGATATTTCTTGTCATGAGGGCCCATAATTCAATTGGAATTATGGCAGTGGCGTCCTGGGAGGCAACCTACCGAATATTATTGTCTATAAAATGTGCGGCACTGATTTTTTGCATTCTCTATCTTCATTATCTTTTGGTTTCAAGCATTATTTATCGAAACTAACCATCTGATCATTTTAACTAAACATTTTGAAACAGTTTTCGAAGCCAAATCGTCGTCAATCAACCCCAATTAAAATTTGAAAACTACATGTACCTTTTCTCGATATTACAATAGCATACTCATTGTGCAGGAAGTGTTATAAACGTCATTTTAGTAACAAGTATTTCAAGTACGAGCGTAGCAAAGCGGAGCAAGTCTTTAATAAACGAGTTTCTAGAAGAGTTTATGAACGCGTTACATACAATACTTTTCCTACGAACTTATAATGCCTCTCTTCGACAAAATCCCACAATTCCGAAAAATAGATTAACCTACCTGCTAATCTACAAAATAATTGGAAGGGAATGGGAATTGAGAACATAATACAAAAAATTATGCCACTGCATCCAACCAACGAGACACGTATAAGTTATATTGATTGTAAATGTGCATCCAGTCCATAGGATACATCAATTTTCATCAAAATGGCTTGTTTACTGACCTCTCTGAATAAGATTTCATCTGACGTAGAAGATGAAAACTCTTGAATTCGCCGAAGTTTTCGATTGCTCAGGTTTGTATCCATAATCTGATATAATATAATTTTGCTCACATGTGTATTGTGTTTTTTACGTTCATTGTCAT